AGAAAAATTAGCACCAAGTCTGCATAATCTATACCAGAAAATAGAAGAGGAGGGAACACTTTCCAAGTCATTTTATGAAGTCTGTATTACTTTGGTACCCAAACCAAACACAGCACAAGAGAAACAAACTATAGACCAATATTCCTCGTGAACATTGATGCAAAAACCCTTAACAAAATATTAACACACAGAATTCAGCAACATATAAAAAATTGCGCACTATGGCCAGGTGATGTTTATTCAAAGAATGCAAGGCTAGTTCAATATTTGAAAATCAAATAATGTCATCCACCATATCAATGGGCTGAATAAGAAGTCACATGAGTACATCATTTGCAGAAAAATTTGAAATATTTAAGACTTATTCTTAACAAAATTCTTTACAAATTAGGGGTAGAGGGGGACTTCCTCAACTTAATAAAGTGCATTTATAAAAATCTACACTTAACAGTTACTTAATGGCAAAAAGCTGAATGTATTTCTCCTAATATTGGGAACAAGGCAGGGTTGTTTGCTCTTCCACTCTTATTCAATAAAATGCTGAACATTCTAGCCAGTATAATAAGGCAAGAAAAGAAAAGGAAAGGAAAAATAGAGTTTAGAAAGGAAGAAATAAAACTGTTTCTATGTGCTGATGATAGGCTTATTATCTATATAGAAAATATTTTTAAAATCTATTAAAAAACTCCTAGAATTAATAAGTGAGTTCAGCAAATTCATACCAGATAAACATACAAAAATCAATTGTATTTCTACAACGAACACATTCTCATCAAAATTAAAAATACAGTCCCCATTTACAATCACGAGAGAGAGAGAGAGAGGGAGGGAGGGAGAGAGAGAGAGAGGGAGAGAGACACCTGGGTTGTTCAGTCAGTTAAGCATCTGACTCTTGATTTCGACTCAGGTCAGGATCGTGAGATTGAGCCCAATGTTGGGCTCCAGGCTGGGCATGGAGACTGCTTAGGATTCTCTCTCTCCCTTTCACTCTGCCCCTCCCCTGCTTACACACACTCCTCTCTCTCAAAAGAAAAAAAAATTTACATGTAAATCTAACAAAACATGTACAAGATTTGTACATGAAACTAGAAATCATTGATGAAAGAAATCAAATCAAAAAGATTTAAATAAATGGAGAGACATACTATGTTCATGGATTAGAAGACAACATTGTAAAGATGTCAGTTCTCCCCAAACTGATATTCAGGTTTAACACAATTCTTACCAAATTCCCAGCAAGAGCTTTTTGTAGATAAAAAGATTACTCTCAAATTTATGTGGGAGGGGCACCTGAGTGGCTCAGTCAGTTGAGCATCCAACTATGGCCCAGGTCATGATCTCGAGGTTCATGAGTTTGAGCCCCACATCAGGCTTGCTACTGTCAGCACAGAGCCTGCTTCAGATCCTCTGTCCCTTCTCTCTCCCCCTCCCTGCTTGTTCTCTCCCCTAAATAAATAAATAAATAAATAAATAAATAAAATTTATGTGGTATTGCAAAGAAGCCAGAAGAGCTAAAACAATTTTGATAGAGAAAAATGAAATGGGAAGAATTAGTCTACTCCATTTCAAGACTTATTATATAGCTATAGTAATTAAGACTGTGTAGTATTGGTGGAGGGATAAACATGTAGATTAGTTGAACAGAACAGAGAACACAAAAATAGATCCACACAAATATGCCCAATCAATTTTTGACAAAGATTTAAGATAAATTAAAAAAAGCAAAGATAACCTTTTCAATAAATGTTGGCGCAAGTAGGCATCTATGAGCAAACCCCAAAATGCAACAAATAAAAAAAAACCCCACCCTGTTTCAGGATCTCACAGTTTATACAAAAATTTACTCAAAATGGATCAAGGACTTAAATGTAAAACATAAAGGGAAAAGTCCTATGAGAAATCTTTAAGATCTAAGGTAATGCCAAAAATTCTTAGATTGGAGACTAAAAGCATGAACTTTAAAAGGGAAAATGGATGAATTAGACTTCATAAAAATTCAAAACTTGCCAAGTGGATAAAAATACAAACTAAAGACTGGGAGAAAACATTTGCAAACCATGTATCCAACAAAGGACTAGTATCTGGAATATATCAAGAACTCAAAACCCAGCAGTTAAAAAAAATCAAACAATCTTGGGGCGCCTGGGTGGCTCAGTCCGTTGAGCCTCCGACTTCGGCTCAGGTCATGATCTCACGGTTCGTGAGTTTGAGCCCCGTGTCGGGCTCTGTGTTGACAGCTCAGAGCCTGGAGCCTGCTTCGGATTCTGTGTCTCCCTCTCTCTCTGCCCCTAACCCACTCGCATTCTGTCTCTGTCTCTCTCAAAAATAAATAAAAACATTAAAAAAATCAATCCAATTTAAAAATGGGCAAGAGACAGGAAGAGTCATTTCACCTAAGAAGATATGCGGATGAGAAATAACCACATGAAAAATGTGCCATTAGGAAAACTCCCTATCATTAGGGGCATTTGTTACCTCCGCTTTGCTTTTCTCCCCAGCATTTATTATCACAATGTGCATCATGTATTTATTTGGCTGTTTATTTATTGTCTTTCTCTATGCGGGTGGGGACTGTGTTTTGTTCACTTTTTCACCCTGGAGAGAGAATTGTGCCTGAAGATGGTAAGTACTCGGTAAATATTTATAGAATGAATGAATACATGCTCTTGAAAGTTCAGATGGAACTCAGTTATGAGTTTTATCCTGGAAGTATTGGTCTTTCCAAATAATAGAGTTTTAATCACTTTTCCATTCTTGTCTGATTTGATTAGCATTTGTTTTAGTCCAGTTTTTTACTGCTTCTTGAGTCTTTATACTTAATATTCTGTTAGGAAACCATCCATTTCCTCTAAATTTTCAAAATATTTTCAATAGGTTAAGATAAAGTAGTCTCATAATTCTTTTCCTCTCTTCTTCACCCCTTTTTTTCTTTAGCCAGGATCACCAAGGGTTTCGACCTTATTCAGTTTTGTGATTGTAAAGCACCAACTCTGCATTCATTTTTCCTAATTTTTACCTCACTAAATTCACCTTTAATTTATTTCATCTGTTTTATTTCTCAAATTGACTCTATTTTCCCCCTTAATTTATTAATTGACAGGGCACCTGGATGGCTGAGTTGGTTAAGCATCTGACTTTGATTCAGGTCACGAGCTCACAGTTCGTGGGTTCAAGCACCACGTCGGGCTCTGTGCTGACAACTCAGAGCCTGGAGCCTGCTTTGGATTCTGTGTCTCCCTCTCTCTCTGTCCCTCCCCTGCTTGCATTCTCTCTCTCTCTCTCTCTCTCTCTCAAAAATAAAATAAAAAGTTTTTTAAATTAAGTTGACATAGTAGTTACAATGAAGGCTAAGTTGCTGGAGCAGAGACTCGATCGCGAAACGTCTTTGTTATTTTCTTTCATGGAACAGTCCTGGGTGGGTAAGTGGCCTGTTCCATAACGTCATTCAGGAACACAAGCAAGTGGGAAAACTCTGCCATTCTCTAGGGCTGGGGGCAGCATACCAATGAGGGCCATTCCTGCCTATTACCTGTTCTTTATCAGTAAATTTTATTGCAGTGCAACCACACTGATATGTTTGCATCTTGCCTACATTTTACTTTTGAGCTTCAATGGCAGAACTGTAGTCATGAGAGACCAGATGGCTCACGAAACGAAAAGTATTTTCCCATCGGCCTTTGTCAGAACTAGTTTGCTGATTCTGCTCTAAGGCAGAGTCCTGGGTGCGTAATCAAAAGTGGGTCACCAGCACGCCTTCTTCCAGCTGGTAGGGAAGGAAGAGACAGTAGAGAAAAGGCATGTCCCCCCTGTGCCTAGAAGTGGTCCATACCACTTCCATTCATATTTGAGAATTTAGTCACATGGCCACATCTAACTGCAAGGGAGTCCTGGGCCGGTGTCACTGGGCACCAGCTTGTCCTGCCATGTGCCCAGCTACTGTTGTTTTACTGTGGTAAGCGGAGGATTGCTTTTGAAGGACAGCTACCAGTTCCCTCCATAGAGAAACATGAAGTTCCTTTATCTTCTGTCTTTCTCTTTGAAGAATGAAGAGATTTCAAGTGACAGATATTTTCCAGCGCAACTAACACTTTGATTCAGAGATTTTGAGAGGGTGCGTTCTCCTTTTCTTGATCTCTTTTAGGTAGTTTCAGTTTGGATTTCTTCATTAGTCCAACGTGTATTTGGGACGATGTCTTTTTAGTTTGCAAGTAGTTATGTATTTTCTAAAGTCATATTTTTTATTATTTATTTCTACTTCCATTAAGAGAAGGTGACCCTAACATGTATAGTTTTAAAACTGTGTTTATGCTTTATTTTTGACCAAATGCATATAAGATTTTGTAATACCTGGACATACATATGTGCGTGTGTATTCCTTTTTCAAATGACAAAGGTTTTTCAAATTTATTTTTATTAAAAAAAATTTGTTTTAATGTTTATTTGTTTTTGAAGGAGAGAGAGACAGATCTTGAGCGGCAGAGGGGCAGAGAGAGAGAGAGGAAGACACAGAACCCAAAGCAGCCTCCAGGCTCTGAGCTGTCAGCACAGAGCCTGATGCGGGGCTCGAACTCGTGGACCATGAGATCATGACCTGAGCCGAAGTCAGATGCTTAACTAACAGCCATCCAGGTGCCTCATCAAATGACAAAATTTTATTTCATATACACATCAGGTTTGATTATGTTATTTGATTTTATGTCCTTTCTTATTTTTGTCTTTTGTATCTAATTCTGAGAAAATGGTTACTCTCATTTTAATATAATTTTAGAATGAAGTTCTTTCATTTCTAATGGTTGCCATTTATATATTTAGCTACCGTTTTTTTTGGTGCGGCAAATTTATCACGATTATATCTTGTTTTTAAATTTATGCATTTATTATTACTTCGTGTCCTTGTTTTTCCTTTTTGAAGATTTTAATTTTAAAATCTATGTGTTCTGATAATAATAATACCACTTGTGATGCCTTGATGCCTTTTTTTGCTTTTTTTTAAGGATCTATTTCTCATCCATTTTTTTTTTTTTAAACCTAAGAGTTACTTCTCTGATCTGTAAAAATGAAGATGATAAAACACACTCTAACTTTTGTGAGGATGAAGGAAGGCGATGGCTGTGGGAGTGTTTGTAAACCATGAAGAACTCCACGTAAAGGTGGTATCATTCCTCCTGCTTTGGGGTCTATCTACTACCCCACCTCTATTGTTGTCTGACTTTGAACGTACGTTACTGGGAGGAGCGGATCCACTTTTTTTGTGTGTGTGCCATTTATCATCTATCTATGTACCCACCTACCTACCTTTTTATCTGTTTATGCATCCTGATTATCTTTTTAACCCATTTAATCATTAACCTGTGTGCTGCCTCTCCTATTCCAGCGCATCTAGATAACTGTATCACCTGCCAATTTTCATTGCCGACACCAGGAAGAATATCTACACCATTATTATTACAGGAGCCATAAATTATTTAAACAAAAAAACACGTTCACTTAAGTTTTATTGTCCTACTATCGTCTAAAACAGGTACAGAGTTGGAAAAAAAAAAAAAGACCCAGCTACTGTGAAATCTCAAAAAATACTCAGGTACTCAGGTAGGGGGTTAAATGTGGGAAGCCAGCATTTTAAGGTTATTCTTAAATTTCAGTAAATTGCAGTAAAGTTATAAGCAGTCACTTGATGAAACACTTTTGAGTGCGACTTCCATTGCCTCCCCCCACCCCCACCCCTCCACCCACTGCAGTTAAAAATGGATAAAGTTATAAACTCAGAAAGTTTGTCCTCTGTTTCTTGCTGCGTTTCTATCTTGTCAAGAGCCACTTCTTGCTACATCATCAGTCTAGGTCCTCCTTAGTTCCCTTATATCCTCAGGGATATTCAAAAAGGAAAAACCAGGGCGCCTGGGTGGCTCAGTTATTTAAGCGCTGGACTGTTGATCTCCGCTCAGGTCGTGATCTCATGGTTCGCGGGATTGAGCCCCGCATTGAGCTCTCTGCGGACAGTGTGGTGCCTGCTTGGGATGGTCTCTCTCCCTCTCTCTCTGCCCCTCTCCTGTGCACATGTGTGCTTATGCTCTCTCAAAATAAACATGAAAAAAATTTTAAAAAGGAAAATCCATATATTTCTAAGCTTACTCTATCCCTGCATTTTAAGTGTTTCTTGTAAACAACACGTGTGTCTTTTTATAGGAGAAAGTAACCCACTTATTACACTGGTATTCACAACTGATGTTCTAAATGCATGTTTATGTTTAGTATACATTTTACTTTGGGGTTCTTAGATTATCTAATTTCCTCATTTTTGCAGGTTTTATGAACTGGTAATTAACTCTTTTTTTCACTTGTTTCATTTTTATTAACCAGTTTCATTTAGCCATTCCTTTCCCAACACTCATCATCAAACTCACATTTCACCAGTTATATGAAAAGAAGCTTTAGCTGTTTCTCTTATTTTTTTTTAAGTTTATCTATTTTGAGAGAGAGCATGAGCGAGGAGGGGCGGAGAGAGACAGACGGAGAGAGAGAGAGAGAGAGAGAAAGAATCCCAAGCAGGCTCCAAGCTATCAGCACAGAGCCCGACCTGTGGCTCGATCCCATGAACCGTGAGATCATGACCTGAGCTGAAATCAAGAGTTGGACCCTTAACTGACTGAGGCACACAGGTGCCCCCTCTTATGTTTTAATAGAAAATATATTCTTTTGGGGCGCCTGGGTGGCTCAGTCTGTTAAGCATCTGACTTCGGCTCAGGTCATGATCTCACAGTTGATGAATTTGAGCCCCGCGTCGGGCTCTGTGCTGACAGCTCAGAGCGTGGAGCCTGCTTCAGATTCTGTGTCTCCCTCTCTCTCTCTGCCCCTCCCCTGCTCATGCTCTGTCTCTCTCTGTCTCAAAAATAAATAAAAACATTAAAAAAAATTAAAAAAAAGAAAATATATTCTTTTGATAAAAGTCTTTTGTTTAGGGATTCATATAATTCACATTTAATGTCATAATGAGATGAAATTTAATTTTTCTAACTTATTTTAGCATTTGCTATTTATCTGACTTCCTTCTGTTTCTTTTTTCCCTTCCTTACTCTTTCTGCCTTGGTCAACTTTTCTGTTTATTCCCCTTTGTCCCTCATTAGCTTCAAAGTTCTACTGTCCTTTCCAGAGCTCCTAGCAGTTGCCATCCTGATCTTGAAATCACAGTGAAAAAGTTTGTCCATTATTACATTAAAGCAAAATAATAAATATACTCCCCTCACCCTAAGACACTTTGCTAACCTCCTCCCAACCAACAAAACCAGGAGAAGCCTTCCCAGTGCCTCTCCCTGCCTCACTTCTGGCCTTGCTGAAGCAGCTTAAAATGTCTACACTCGGACTAAAATCATCTTCCTTGTCAAGAATACTTACCTAACTTACATTAGGAGCTCCAAGTGACATTCCCGTCATCTATGCTATGAAGACACAATAAGATGTACTGCTCTGCTTCTCATCTCATGCTCTGGTTTGGAGTTAGAGAGCTAGAGGACTCTCCCAAGCGTTGTCCTCAGATAGGTTACGTGGCTCTTGTGTTTTCTGAAGCCTTGCATGTCAGAACGAGGCTAGAGAATGAGTCAAGCCAGTGAGGGAAGCCCCAGAATCTTTACAAAGTGCACTTGCGGCTGTTCACTCAAGAGATTCTAGTACAAGATGCCTCAGTGGAAATGGGCTCCCCAATGTCAACAGTGATATGTGATCAAGGTCACAGGATGTGTTTCCAATAACTGATGGCAGGGCGGAGGTAGTAATCAGAAATATTTCTACCACAGATACCTGGGCTGTGTTAATTATTTATGCAGTCTTTAAGTATGCACTAGATGAGCCAAGTAAAGCATTTATTTAATTTCTTTTTTTTTTTAATGTTTATTTTTGGGAGAGAGAGAGAGAGTGTGTGCGCATGAGTTGGGGACGGGCAGAATCTGAAGCAGGCTCCAGGCTCTGAGTTGTCAGCACAGAGCCCAGCATGGGGATCGAACTTGTGAACTGTGAGTTCAGTTCATGAATTCGACTCATGACCTGAGCTGAAGTCGGATGCACAACTGACTGAGCCATCCAGGCACCCCTAATTTCCTCTTTTGTAATGTTTACTTATTTTTGAGAGAGAGAGAGAGAGTGCATGTGCTCGAGAGAGAAAGTGGGGGAGGGGCAGAGAGCGAGGGAGACGCAGAATCTTTTTTTTAATTTTTTTTTTAACGTTTATTTATTTTTGAGACAGAGAGAGACAGAGCATGAATGGGGGAGGGTCAGAGAGAGAGGGAGACACAGAATCGGAAACAGGCTCCAGGCTCCGAGCCATCAGCCCAGAGCCCGACGCGGGGCTCGAACTCACGGACCGCGAGATCGTGACCTGGCTGAAGTCGGACGCTTAACCGACTGGGCCACCCAGGCGCCCCGGGAGACGCAGAATCTGAAGCAGGCTGACCAGACTCTGAGCTGTCAGAGCATTCGAGCTGGCTTGAACCCACACACTGTGAGATCATGACCTGAGCCAAAGTCGGACGCTTAACCGCCTGAGCCACCCAGACGCCCCTCACTTCTGTAACAACCAGTGTCCTCGTGTGATGGACAAGTGCCTGACGTGAGCAACCCCAATACCAAAAGATCCAATTCCCAGGCCCGGGGTCTCCCCGAAGGAAGAGGAAAGGACCTACCATCGCTATGGTGACTGGTATGCTTCGATGCACTCTGTCTGCCTTAAACACGTAACGGTGATAGCACATAAAAGCAGCGAAAAAAGACATGGTCTGGCTGAAAGACAAAATAAAGATCTCTAGAAACCATACACAGTACGGAAGTGCAAAGCAGTGAGGGGGGCGGAAGCCGCATGTCTGGGTTTTAGGTCCAGAGATGGGCCGTGGCTGTGAGCCTCTTGGATCCTACTGGGGACTGATCTGAAAGTTTTATATTTAGATGGGGGAGATAGAAGCCAGGAGCCTGCGTGAGGTCAGGACCTAGAGGGGAGATTCTTCCTCCTCCGTAAAGGCTCCTGCTGTCCACCACGTAGGGCCATGGGTTTATGGAAGTGGGGAGCCTGGGGGGATGGGAGAACTGGGGGGATGGGGCCAGGAACTGAATCACGTTCAAGGGATGACCCTGTGATATTGCCAATTAATCGTCGTGGGACAGGAGCCCAATGAGACACTATAAGAACTGTTGTGGACCAGGGGTCACAGCGAAGGGATCCGAGACGGGGACAACTGTCAAACTGGCAAACAGCGAGGGGTTAAAACCAGGGAGAAACAGGGAAAAACAAACACACCTCAAACACCTCACTTAAAATGAGACTGCTAATCAAATTACAAAACGGAGGAAGAAATCTAACACAGAAAGAACATGATCTCTCTGGAACAGTTTAGCAAAACCTTTAAATGTGTTCCACGACCAGTAGTTAATTGTTCTGGGTATTTATTTCATCCCTTAACGTAGTGGCTGAAAACCACAGCAGCAACATACTGGGTCGGCAGGTGGGTGGGGCCAGTCTGTGGTTGGCAAACTGAGGAACGGCACCCCCTGGAGGTTCGCTCCCTTCCAGGCGGGGCATCTGGGCAACTGGAACCCCTGGGGGCTCCTGGTGCGCCCCTGTTTCTTCACGTGCACTTCCTGCTTGGCAGCTGTAGGCAGCGGACTTCGAAAAGCCAGTTCGGGGCACCCTCGGTCCTAAGAGGGGGGCCGAGCCAAGGGAAGCCTAGCTCATTTTTATGACCTAGCCTTACAGATCTCACGGCAGCTTAAGTTGCATTCTTTTTCTTAGAAGTGAGTCACTAAGGTCAGTACAGGTTCAAGGGAAGGCCAATTAGATCGCATCGTTCCGTGGAAGGCAGGCCAAAGATTTTGCGGGCGTGTTTTCAGTTTGCCACGGTTGGCTCTCTGACCTCAAATTATGTACTTGTCTTCCCCCCACGTGCAAATTACATACAAGCTTCCCAATATCCCTAATACAGGACCGACTCGGGTTCGAGGCCCAGAACCTCCTTTTCTCCGCCTGGTTCCGAGGCGGATGATGGCTCCGGCACAGCTTCTGACATAGCACCTCAAGTACAGCGTCTCTCAGTCCGAGACCCGGGAACCGGACACCCAACATACACTGGTGGGACAGGCCCAGAAACACTGCTGTATGAGAGAATGACTCTCATCCGTAACAAGGTACAATAGGGAGCACCCGAAGGCCCGGGGGTATAGCTCAGGGGTAGAGCATTTGACTGCAATAGGGAGCACCCGGGAATCACTGGCCTATACAGTTCCGGAGCCCCGTTGGGCACGTGTTGCCTTGGCTAGGGCTCAGCCCACCATGTGGGGCGGTTCACCACAGCCCTGGGCCCCTGGTGCTGCCTGCTGAGTTAGCCTTCCTTTCCATAAAATGCTGCCACGTTGGCAGCTGAGGAATTTGGGCACCCTGCTTCTTCCCAAGGAGTCTTAGAGCGAAAAGCCCTCTTCGTTGCGTGCCGCCTCTATTCCTTTCAGTCCATGTTGATACAGTTCCTTAAAACTTTTTTGCGGTTTTGTTGTTAGGAACCAACTTCTAGAAACACGTACCCAGAAATCTCACCGACTGGGCTTCACATGAAGCCACTGAGACAAGAAAGTCAAGATTCTTAGAAGTCCTAACGATTAATGGAGAGGATCTGTGAGGCATGACCTTAAGATCCTTCTTCTTCTCTTTTTTTTTTTTTTTTTTTTGAGAGAGAGAATGAGAGAGTGCTCGCGCGTGTGCACGTGTGCGTGGGAGAAGGGCAGAGGGAGAGGGAGACAGAATCTTAAGCAGGATCCACAGCCAACACAGAGCCCAATTCAGGGCTTGACCCCACAACTGTGAGATTATGACCTGAGCAGAAATCAAGAGTCAGATGCTCAACCGACTGCCCCATGATCCTTCGTTTTGTACTGCCTCCTACCATTTAAAATTGCATGCTGATATAGTTCCTTTAGAAACATAATGGGTTTCCTGTGAATCAATTTACAAAATCCAGTTCTTTAAAAACATTACATACACAAGCATCATCGAGAGGCTTCCACTTGGACAGCAGAGAGACCACAAACTGAAGATTCCTAGAAACCTTATTGTACTCTTAAGATGCTTTGATGGTATTTTGTCTGGCTAACTGGTTTTCTGAGGCACTGTCTCGGATCTTTCCGAGATATTAACCAGGGACTTACAGTCCTACTTTGGATGGGATCTTTTATCGACCTGAATATCTTGGAAATCATGGGAATAAGAACAATTTTATTTTGAAGCCAGCAAGTCCTGGATCCTTGTAGGTCTTTCTTGAGCTTCTCTCTTTCCTCTCACATTTTGTGGTAATTTGTTACAGCAGCAACAGAAAACTAATTCAGCTATCAAGTCTCTTTAGTTTTCTTTAACCTAAAACAGTTTCTTAGTCTTTCTTTGTCTTTCATGACTTTGACACTTTTGAAGAGCATTTTGTTGAATCTCCCTCAATTTACATTCATTTGATATTTCCCCATGACTAAATTCAGGTCATAAAATTGTGACAGGAATATCGGTGATGGAAAATGCTATTGTGTTCTTCTCAATGTAGTCTATTGATTTATCCCATTACTGATGAGCTTAAATTTGATCAGTTACAGACAATTGATTTGTTCCATTACTAATGAGGTTAACTTAAAAAAATTTTTTTCATGTTTATTTATTTTTGAGAGAGAGAGAGAGAGAGAGAAAGAGAGAGGGAGAAAGAAAGATGGAGTCAACATGAGTAGGAGAGGAGCAGAGAGAGAGGGAGACACAGAATCTGAAGCAGGGTCCAGGCTCTGAGCTGTCAGCACAGAGCCCGACGCGGGGCTCGAACTCACCAGCTATGAGATCATGACCTGAGCTGAAGTCAGACACTTAACAGGCTGAGCCACCCAGGCACCCCACTAATGAGGTTAACTTTGATCAGCTGTTTAAATTGGTATACTCTGGGTTTCTCTATAGCAAAGTTACTCTTTTTGTAATTAATAAATATTTTGTGGTAAGGTACTTGAATCCTACATGCTGCTTCTCGGCAATACTTAGCCCACTAGTTTATATCCGTTGATGATTATCTTGTGAAGTAATTATCACTATGATTGTTGCCAGTTCATAGGTTTTTAATTTCATTACCCTTCTTCTCTAGTTATTAGCTAGAATCCCACTTCTCTACTTATTTATATTTGTTCATTTAATTTTTATTATCATGACCTTTTAAATTCTTTTATTCCAAGGCTTTTAATCTGTTGCTGTATTGGTTTATTTTCGCCCACGTTTTCCTAAAGGAGGCTAGTGGGTGCCACTTCAAAGTGGCTCCTGTGTCATTTTTCACATGTTCCATATCATCCTTTGAACATTTCTTTACTTTCTGGTACCAGATGTCCCAGGACTGTCTTGTTGTACTTTCCTTGCTCCAAGTCTTAGAATTAGCCATTTTCCAGAGAGCTCCGAACTGGTTAGTGGAGAATGGTACTTAGAAACCAGGATCTGGATATTTGTGTGCTCACTGCTACTCTGTATCACTGCTTCTAAGCCCTCTTAGAGGCAGAGTTAGGAAATATATGTGTGAGTGCATGTGTGTGTGTGTGTATTTACACATACATACCCCTGTCTTTGTATTACATGTACACACACTGTTTTTTATGTGTGTTGTGAACATATACCCCTAAGAATATTAATTAAGGGATTAAAAATTATTTTCTCTTCCTCATTGCCTTTGTTTCATCTGAGCTTCCTTTTTCCTTTTTTTGTCATTTTAGTCTCTGTGTCTTTTTTTTATTTTAAAAAATTTAAGTTTATTTATTTATTTTGAAAGAGAGAGAGAACAGAGCAGGAGAGAGGGGGAGAGAGAGAGAGAGAGAGAGAGAGCATGAAGGGGGGAGGGGTGGAGAGAGAAAATCCCAATCAGACTCTATGCTGTCAGTGCAGGGCCTGACGTGGGGTTAGATCTCACGAACCATGACATCATGACCTGAGCCAAAACCAAAAGTCAGATGTTTGACTGACTGAGCCACCCAGGCATCCGTCTCTTTCATGTGGGGGTTGCCTGAAATGTCCGATGATCACTGTCATTCCATATTTAAGAGTGATGCACAACAGATTTCTTGTTTTCTATAATGATGAAATACATCATGAAGACAAACCTTTTCATGAAAAATAACTATAGATATTGGAGAAAAGTCTAAATATATCTTCATAGAAGCAACATAAATGGACATACACTTTAATACCACTCTTTTGGAGAGGAGTTTGCAAAAATCAAGAAAATTACATAAGCATTTTGGCCCATAAATCCACTTCTAGAATTTACTGTGAAGATATACCTTGACAATATGAAAATATATATAAAGTTGTCATTTGCATGATTATTTGTAATTGTACAATATGGAAAACAATCGAAGTGCCCATACATGAGAGAGAGGTTAAATAAGGTATGCTACATGTGCACAAAGTAACACTACTTAGTAAAATAAACAATAAGGGTGATTTCTATCGACTGACATGGAGTGATACCCAGGATATATTGTCCATTGAAAAAGCAAAATGTAGATCAGCATATATCTGTAATATACCTTTTATGTGAAGAAAGGGAGATAGAAAAATATACATGTGTCTGCTTATTTGTGAGTAAAAAAAAAGAAAGAAAGAAAAGAAACTTAAGAAGAATAGACCAGAAACTAATGAGATTGTTTTCCAAGGCTAATGGGTGGAAATTGGGTGGGAAGCATGAGGGTACTGGAACAGAAGTGATGACAAACGGGCATTTCTTTGATTTACTTTTTCATATGTTCTGAATTTTAGAACTATGTTAATGTTTCACATGCTTAAAGAAAATATTAACAAGGGTGGGAAATAACAAAAAAATAGAACACAGAAACAAAGGAACTTAAATCTATTCTAATTGGATAACATGACCACACTGAAAGGGTATGAAGGATGATTTTGAACACAGTATTTTGAATATATGCCCACAGGCTAAAGACCACAACTGTAAACTGTAAACAAATACCGTGCTCTAGTTAGAAAGTATGGGTGAGCAATTATGAAACTACTTTATGTGTATTCCATAACGGGATAAGTAAATATAGTGTGTAATGAGAGCCAGGTTCCTCACTGTTGGAGAAAGCAGTTAATATATGCAAAATGCTAGACTGACGTCTACATACATTGTGTAGACTGTATGCATTTTAGAATCAGCTTGTTAGTATCCGCTAAAAACTCAGCTTGTTTGCTGAGTTGTTGGGTTGAAGTTTTTGGATGCATAACCGTGAACTGATGAAGATACTCTTTCCTTCTTTTTCTTTCTTTCATTTATTTTTATACCTCTATATATCTACACACACACACACACACACACACACACACACACTTTTTCTCATATATCCACCAGAAAGAAAACTTAAGGCCAACATCTATCATGAACACAGACACAGAAATCCCTAACAAAATATTAGCAAATCAAATTCAGCAATATATTAAAAAGGATACTACCTTGCAATCAAGTATGGTTCATCCTAGGAATGCAAGGCTGGTTTAAACATTCAAAATCAATCCCTGTAGCTCACTATATTAGTATACTAAATAGTAAAAAAAAAAAAAAAAAAAAAAAAAATCATCATATCAGTAAATGCAATACTGGCATTCAACACAGCATCTATTCATGATTTTTTTTTTAAATCATGCAACCTAGGAAAAGACAGAACTTCCTTAACCTAATAAAAAGTATTCGTGAAAACTTTACAAATAACATTGTATTTAATGGTGAGAGACTCAGTGCAAAGAGGTTCTCAGTTACTACTTCTATTTAATATCATACTGGAAGTCCTGGTTTGTGCAAGAAAAAGAAAAGACATAGAGACTGGAAAGGAAGAAATAAAACTGTCTCTATTCATAGATGATTATCTATGTAGAAGGTCCCCCAAAATCTACACACACAAAATCCCTGAAACTAATAAGTGAGTTTAGCAAGGTCACAGGACACAAAGGTAATGTTAAAAAAGTTCCTTGTAGGGGCGCCTGGGTGGCGCAGTCGGTTAAGCGTCTGACTTCAGCCAGGTCACGATCTCGAGGTCCGTGAGTTCGAGCCCTGTGTCAGGCTCTGGGCTGATGGCTCAGAGCCTGGGGCCTGTTTCCGATTCTGTGTCTCCCTCTCTCTCTGCCCCTCCCCCGTTCATGCTCTGTCTCTCTCTGTCCCAAAAATAAATAAAAAAAACAAAAAAACGTTGAGTAAAAAAGTTCCTTGTATTCTTTTTTTTCAGATTTTTAAAAAAATTTTTTTTTCAACGTTTATTTATTTTTGGGACAGAGAGAGACAGAGCATGAACAGGGGAGGGGCAGAGAGAGAGGGAGACACAGAATCGGAAACAGGCCCCAGGCTCTGAGCCATCAGCCCAGAGCCTGACGCGGGGCTCGAACTCACGGACCGCGAGATCGTGACCTGGCTGAAGTCAGACGCTTAACCGACTGCGCCACCCAGGCGCTCCAAAAAGTTCCTTGTATTCTTATATGCCACCAGTGACCAACAGGAATTTGAAATTTTAAAAAATACCACTTATAATAATAACAAAGACAGTACTGACAAAATACATGCAAGGTTTATATGCAGGAAACTGCCAAGCACAAAAACAAAAACAAAAACAAAGATGATCTAGATGATTTGGCTTATGCCCTGGTTCATACGTTACAAGGCTCAATATTTGCAAGATGTCAGTTCTTCCTAATTTGATTTATACATTCAGTATCATCTTAAACAGAAT